TGGATCCCTATCGATCCTAGCTTGGCTAATAGCAGCCGATGGTTGACGGAATCAAAAGCCTTACTAAAGTCTAGATAGTCCAGGAACGCTGGCAGATTTGTGAGGCACGAACGGCCTTGACGAAACACGTGCTGAGCCTCCGCGAGCAGGCCCCATTGGGTGAGGTACCTGGCCATCTTATTTGTGATTAGTCTTTCCATGACCTTTAGAACCACGGATAGGAAGCTAACGGGCCTATAATTAGTGGCCAGCTCCCGGTCTGGCTTTTGCCAGTCGAGAGTCCAGTTCGCTGTGTTGTCGGCGGATCGGAGTAGCTTCCAACGCTGCGTACAGTTGATTAGTTGTTTGTGATCCTCTCAATTTAGCCCCGTTGCCAGAACGTTTACTCCTTGGGGGTATGCTCAAAGGGAGGAAAACAAGCAAGGATATCTCCTCACCTCATTGGTTAGAGACCTCAAGTACACATGCGTTCGTATACACAGATCAAATGTGACAGAACAGTCAGTTTTAGATTAATTCTAACAGTCAAACCTGAGTTCGCATCATTTCAAAGCTACCGGTTAAAGTAGAATTTATTCATTATGTTCCCACTGTAAATACTAACTTCGGGGAACGTTTCTGACCAACATGCGTCGAGGGCCACCTTGAAGGCGTTAACATTGGTGCAGTTGACCACTTGTGCGGTTATCCTGTTCCACATATGTATGACCCTGTGTGCAAAGAAGTTTGCCCGTACTTCCAATTTGGCGTGGTTCTGCTGAAGTTTATAGTCATGACCTCTCGTGTTCTGAGCACGAGCAATCGTAAACAAGTCGTCTAATTTGATTCCCGATAGACCTCTTACAATTTTGAAAGTCTTTCAGATCTCCCCTCACTCTTCTATGCTCCAGCGAAAAGAGATCAAGATCTCTCAAACGCTGCGCAAAGCTCTTCTCCTTTTGTCCAGCCACCATTCGGGTAGCTCGGCGTTGCACTGTTTCTAAACAAAATACATCCCTCCTGTAATACGGTGCCCATGCCTGCACACAATATCCCCTGTGTGGGCGAACAATCGACTTATACAGGGAGAGAAACACCTCAGGCCGTCTGTATGTTACTGTGATACATAGCCTGAACAGCTGTCCCTAGCCTGATTTGCAGCCTTGGAGCACTCGGTTGATGGTTTAAAATCCTGGATCATAAGAATCCCTAGGTCCCGCATCTGCGGGGCCTGCTGTATTGGAGCTCCATTCAACGAGTATACCCCCAATCTCTTTGCTAAGAGCCTAGATTTGTTTAGATTTAACGCTAGATCCCACTTGACCGACTATCGATGGACTACGTCTAAGTCCCTTTGCAGGTTTAACCCCGTCATTTTGACATCATCAACGAACATGAACCACGGATTTTGAAGACCCTGTGCCAGCTCATTGATGAATATGGGAAAACGTAGGGGGCCTAGCACCGAGCCCTGGAGAACTCCACTCGTAACCACCTCATGGTTAGATATGTAGTCACCCACCTTGGCCCGGAAGGTGCGGTTGTTCAAAATGGCTACAATCCAGTCCCTGGCTCCACCCGTTATGCCTAGGCTCCGAACTTTGATGTCCAACTATCTATGGCTGACAGAGTCAAATGCTTTACTGAAGTCTAAGTAGCAGACTTCTACATTTTTCTCCTCATCAGTAAGTTGACTGACTTCGTCTAGGAATACAAGCAAGTTCGTAAGACATGATTTGAGTTGCTCAAAGCCATGTTGTGCCGGTGACAGGAGTTGATTGCTAGTCATATGTAGGTAAATCTGCCTTCTGATTAGTCGCTGTAGGCACTTACACAACCCTGACGTTAGGCTAACGGGTCTGTAGTTTTCTGCTTTATATTTTGGTCCAGCCTTCTGTAGTGCTACAACGGTAACTGTACGCCCGTCCTTGGGTGGCGTAGCAGTTTGCACTGATTCCCTAAACATTGCGGTCAGCGGCCTGGCCAGCGGCTGCATTATGGCTGGATGGATTCCATCCGGACCTGCTGACTTGTGCTTGTTCAGCGTCTGGAGTTCTCTATGTATATCTGTTTCGCAGATGACAATTTCAGCAAACTCTGGCGTATCAGCTGCCCTGATAAACCCAGGTTATCATAGTCGACTGTGATCCTATACATGCTCTTGAAGAACTTAGGTAGGATTTCCACTTCAACGCGATTACCCGTAGCTATGCCTCCATCGCAATAAGTCAGTGCTCCTACACTCTACCGTGTGCGTGCGTTGGCTTGCACGTACGCACAGAAGCTTTTGGGGTTCTTTTTAACGCCTCGTGCTAAATTAAACTCGAAATAATATTTGGTACGCCTTTGAAGGTCTTGACATCTGTTTCGCGCTCGCTTGTGTCCCTCCAGGCTTGTTGAGAGTCGTAAAGCTTAAAGCGATCCCAGTATTGTCTCCGAATTTTCCGCGCCTTCTCTATCCCGGAGTTCCACCATATTAGTTGATGTCTGGTTCGTCTTCCCCTCAGTGGTGCGAACCTTTCTGTGAGGTTAGTTAACCCTCTTTTAACTACGTCCTATCTATCTTGTACAGTACACTCCTGGAACGTCGAGTACCAGTTTACGGTATTTGCAGCTTGTACCAACTGTGGGACGTTTATGCGCTCATAGAGCCGGAAGAGGGTGGGTACGTGTCTACGATAACTATCCGTTAGTCTAAAGCGAATCACCTCGTGGTCGCTTTTGCCCAACGGTTCCTCCATATTTAAACTAGTTATGTCCGAGCTGTACCTTGTGATAATCAAGTCAAGCAGCGAGGGTTACTGTTGTCCTCGATATCTCGTTGCTTTTGTAACATGTTGTGAGAGGGCTCTTTCCTGTAGCAACTTCAGCAACCGTTACCCCTGAGACCCCGCGGTCTTCGATCCATGTGCCCCGGATATCTCCGGGAAGTTGAAGTCACCAATCACGAGAAACCTCTGATAGCTAGACAGGGTTTCTTGCATAAACCGCAAAAGCTCTGTATCTTCCCAGGGAGTCGCAAGAGGGGCACGATAGACGCATAGTATGCCTATCTGCCTTCTTCCCGGTTGGACACAGCATCCTACCGCTTGGATGTTGGGGGGAGCTAAGACCAGCTGTTTCCCACTGGCTGAGGGATGACTTAACTAATATTAGCACACCACCGCCTTGTCTGCCGTCTATTCTGTCCTGCCGGTAACTAGTTTAGCCCCTAGGTCTGCTATAACTTGCATATCCTGCAACCAGGATCCCTGGGGGCGTGCTGCAATCTCGCCCCATATATCTCGGACGCTACTTGCGTTAGTATACCAGACTGCGATACTATCCACTCGCTGATCCCACTGCGCTCCTTTATACTATTGGAGTCCTCGGGCGCAATACCCCATGGATAACCCCGTTTTTTGCTGTTGTGTAACAGCCGGAGGCAGGCTCCGCCATCCATAATGTGCCGCCTTTAGATCTACCCCGTCAACTGACTTGGATGCCTGCCGCGTGACACTTTATGAGGAACTCTAGGTCCTCGCGTCCGGGACTGGTAATTGTGCCCAATCCTGGCCGGCGTCTCGGTGTATTCGCTACTACTGTTGCCCAGCTAGGGTCCTCCGACACCTTTTCGTGTGAATATGTTCCTTGCGCTCCGTTCCTGCGATTATCTTGCTCTGAGGAAACGGATTTCTGTGCTACAGTTTTGAGTTTCGGAGCTGCTGCGGGGCTGAAAGCGTGGTGGTTTACTCCGCTCTAAACACTTTCGCTTCGCTACCCTTTAACTCTCACAGCGGATCCCCCTTAGGTTTTGGCGTTGACTTACTCAACGGTATACCCTTTGGTCCTTGTGTGCCCTTCGATGTGCACATCTGACCTTGGGCCTTCGTTGAGTTAGTCGCCGATATAGGGTTTTCGGGTACCCCTACCCTTCCTAGATTAACTACTGCATTCTTCGGCCGCCCTACTTCCTGTTTACTAGTGAGTGGTCAGTTTGTTCTACGGATCACCGTACCATTATCTGGGGTGACAATTATGCGGCCCCAATTGATGCTTTCTATTGCCTCTGATCTGGACAATAGGCGGTCCCCCGCATACACACTCATGAGGGCTACAAATATAGACCCGGGTTGGTTGGCCCTTTTGCCTTTACATAGCCCCAGCCTATGAAATTTCATAATTCCCGTCACAGTAGGCATCCCCGCTAGCATAAGCGCGGTACAAGGAAAGGACTCACAGAAGGATTTTCCGGCTGGTTGATTAATTCTGTTTTCCAGATGTGTGGCTCCGGTCGATGAGGTGCAGTGGAGCTGAAATGGATGACTGCGACAATTAACGGACCGCTTGACGATAACTGATAATGCTTGCGTAATGCTTCAGCAACACTCAGAGAACACGTGCGGAGTTACGAACAGAATTTGTATTGTGTCATAGGTGTTGTGCATATTAAAACAAGCTGTACAATCATGTCAGATAAAAGTGGATAGAAAAGTGAGACACTACAGTACCCCCTTCTAGAGTGAAAGTGCAAACTGTATACTCGATAAAGGTGTGAGTAAAAGCTACTGTTAAAGAAAACGAGCAGGAAAGTGTACTCTTCGGCCAAGACGAGTTGTACGTAGAACAATTGGAGGTATTAATACGCGTGGAGGAGGTGAGATGGTTGGAGAAGTGTGTGTTGTTTGATGAGTCATTTGGTGTGGGTGATGTATCGGGGATAACTGGTAAAGGAACATGTGGAGATTGTGTGATGGGTAAATCGAAAGATGAATCGAGATAGGCGGGTTTTAAGAGATCGATGCTCACCGAACCATGCGTTCCCTTGCGATCCGAAACAAAAAATATCGGAACGAGAAATTACTCTGTATGGTCCGGTGTACGGTGCTTGGCGTGGTCGACATGTAGCGTCGCAGCGAATGAAATCGTGGCTACTACCTATTCTGGAATATGTGCCTGCTAATGAAGCGCAAGCTCGTCCTTCTAGCAACAAACCTCTCGTGATTCGCAGAGCAATTGACGAGTACACTGAACCGGAGCAAGCTGAACTACCTCCAAGAAGTCCCGTAAGTACGGAAAGGTCCGAGCCTCGGTCGCTTAGTAACATGTCCCCAGTGCCAATCCAGATCCCGTGTATTCCATGGAGATCATTCTCAACACCAGCGACACCCCCTTGCTTGTCAATTGCACCGGTCATGTGTACACTTAATCCCAGACAGCCTGCACCCATGTTTGGTGAGCAAGTCCGATGCCCTGTTGGGGAATACACGTACATGCATTCGATCTGTGGCCCGGTGCATCCCACATCAAGTTTGACTGTACCCCCAAATAGCGGTTCTCTGTCAGCCATTGGTCACACTTGCCCTGCTGTGTATTCAAACTCTCCTGCCTATATTCAAGTTCAAACACAAACTCCATGTCTGAGCGGGCATTATCCTACCCTGATGCCGGGCGGGCTCAACGGAGCTACGACAGTCACGACATTAACCAACGGGGTATCATATCCTTGTCCATATCGAATAATTCGAACAAGCTGCAGTAGTCCATGCCTGGCTCCGCGTCACCTACCCATTTCTCACACCGGGACAATTGTGCACCGGAACCCAACCAATTTCATGATCCCCTCAGGTCATGAGAACCACGTTACGAATCTGACATTCCCTATGCCGGTTGGGTGTTATACTTTACACTTGAACCGAGACTCGGAATCTTATCGGTATTGTCCTGAGGTCATATCAACTCAACGTCGTTCCAGCTCCGCCGTGAATGGTCCACCATCAACCATGGGG